TTCCTCCCAGCTGTGTGACACAAGAGGCACAGAGTCTCCAAGACAACAGTCAAGACAGCGGCCAAGACAGCAACTTGTTACTCAATTACAACAGACATTATCTGTAGCCTTGGGCTAATTTTTCCACACTTCATTGTGTGAAATGGGAAGAGCAGCTCTTCCTTCCCCTCCCTTCCACTGTTGCAGTGCATGGTGAAAAACAAAACACCTCAGAAAGATATACCTCACAGAAGTAATGACACACAGTTTCTGGCCAGCTCCTCAGGACTCCCTTTTGTCTGGGGGTATTAGTATGCAGCAGTGTCAAGTCAACAGGGCTCTGAGTGAGCTTGCTTGGCCACCACAAGCAATGTCAGGGAGTCACTGAGACACAACTGTACCTGCAGTGATGCCAAAAAGGGCACAGCAGGATTACACTAAAATGCACTAAAAATTCAGTGGATGCAAGCAGGTTTGGGAGTTAACGTGTGCACTAACAAATCCCCTGATGCTCCTCTCTGCCGGGAAAGTCAGTGTAACAATACACAGGGGAAAGCATTACCTTTTCTTTAGAAAAGAAAATCATAACCTTTTTTGTTTCTAATCCAATGAAACACACATAAAAATAGAGTCCCATGAGAGAACAGCAAAGTCTACATTATAATAGCTAAATTAAAAGATAATTTAAGAAAAAGACACAAAAAGGAAGATAGGCTTGATCCTGCAAAGTTAGAGGCATTCTACCCTTGCATTAACAAAGCATTTCTGTTATTTCTTAGTCTTTAAATTCATGAATATTCCTCACAGAACCCTGCAGAAGCAGGTAAATGCTCATAGTTCAGTGTGTGTTTAAGTGCTGTGCTTGGTAGGAATTAGAGCAGTTTGAGCTCTGCAGAATCAAGGATTATGCTTAAATCTTCTGTGGCTGATTTTATGCTAAACTGCTAGTGTTTACCTGAATGTCTTATTCTTCTCTCATTCATTTCTGATAAATCTGAAATGCATATAGTTATATTTAAGACTAAATATTTGCTCCTATGTATCACGAGTAAAGACTTCATGATAAAAGAGAAAGAGGCTTTTATAGGGCTCAGAACCGCATATTTCTTGACCTTATTTCTAGTATCATAAGCTGAAAACTTCTTGCCACTGATAGAATCAGTTCACATGCCCTCCTTGATTTTAATTTTCTAGAAGAAGGTGTTTATAAGGAAGGAGTAAAAACTATTCCATTTCTAAACATTAGAGAGGATCAGCTCACATGCTAATTCCTTTTCCCCCTTTCCCTCTGTTTCGTGCTGTAGTGATGCTGAAGCTGCAGTGTGCCCACGAAGCACCCAATTTCCAGAGAAGTTACCCACATGAAAAGAAATTGAAATATTGTTTTGCTCTGCACAGCGAGGACAGATCAGATGGTTATTTGAGAGCTGCACAGCTGAAGCACACTTTCATCTCAGAAGAAAATATTCAGTAGGCAACAGAACTACTGATGGTAGGGTTTTATCTACTTACCACTGCACAGAGCCAAACAAGCCAAATACGAGCAGGGAAAAAAGCCACAACTGATAAACAAATCACAGTTAATAAATCACATGAACAAAGACATGCAAAGGAAACGAAGTCATTACTGCTCTGACATTGTCCTTGTGTTGTCTGTACATATTCGCTTTTCATACATCATTCTCTTCTGAAACCTTAAGTCTCCACTAATTGCTGAGGTAGTGAGACTTGGAAAGAATTCATGTTATTTTATATTAAGATCAAATCAATATGCAGGCAAGAGAAAAGCTGCTTCATGATCATGTTATCAGCCTCCAACTTGAACTCCTTTGTGTTGCAGAATGTAGTAAGGGGGGCTTTGGGTTTTTTTTTTATAAATGTGGACTTATAACAAACAACTAGATAACTTCCTTCATAAAAGAGGCTCTCAATTTTTTCAATACCTGTAAAGAAATACTTACAAGAATTCAAAAACACAAGAAAGAAATGCAAATTCAGGTCAGTTTGAGCCTTCAGGTAGTTAACGGTTAGGAAAAATATTTGCATAGAAAAACAAATTTATTCTACATTCTAATTTTTCAGCATCATGAGGAATGAAACAGCAATGCAGATAAACAGTGCCCATTTTGTTAAGAATGCAGGCTTTTGCGGGGGGAATGAATTTACTGAAAACAGGTCAAGCCGGTGCCAAAAACTGCTCTTATCCACAAGGTTTGAATAAAAACTCAAGAAAAAGGCCCAGACCTCTGAAGTTGGCCAAGATGTCACACAAATTTCCATAAACTACATGCACAGTATGCTTAGAAAGGTGCCAACATTAACCTGCATAGATATCTGGAAACACTAAGGGACTGAAAAAGTTTCAAGTCTTTTACTTACAGCATTCCACAATGTTTTAATTCTTAAGCAAAGCAGCAGTTCAAAATGTCTCTGTAGCCTATTTTCCACAAGCAGTTCCTGCAGAGCCAAAGATCCCTCATTCTTTGATGGGATTACAAGTTTGGCTGATAAAGACAAGAGCAGAAATGCAATATCCTCAGAATTCTGTGAGGTTTTTAAGGCCCTAAAGTATACAGTTATTGGATTAAAAACTGACTACATTACCTAAGTGTTGAAAATAAGAAGAAAAGAAACACTAAAAACATTTGTTAGAGGTAATCATGACTCAACAGGAGTCGGTCCCATTGACGATACAGTATTTACAGTCTGGAGATAAATATTACATCCCTGCACATACAACTAGAAGCAAACACAGTCAGAATGATAAACAGTGAAGAAAGGAGTGAGTTCACTCAGAATGGACCCAGATGCTTGTTAAACTGAGCCTACACGACAAACCCAAAAGTTGTAAGGCAGCCCAATGCAAAGTTATAAAGCTACGAATATTATCATCCACAGCTACAGAGTGGGGGACCCTGCCTTGCACAGCAGCAACTCTAAAATCAGTGCCAAGTTCCAGTGTGATCCTTGGCTGCACAAAAGAGAAGTAATAAGAGATCAGGATGTGGTTCTGCTCACCGCTGAAGCACTCTTGAGATCTATAACAAAATGCTGCTCATAGGACTTCTCATGTTCTAAAGACACTTCAAAAATTGAGAAGGACGCACAGAAGAGGTTTTGGAATCAAATGAAGGGACAAAGAATATAAAATAAAAATTGATGACACTTCCTTTTCTCTAAGGAGAAAATACCTGTAATCATGGCTCTTAAATCCTGCAGAGTAAGTCTAACAAGACTTAATGACAAAAAAAGCCCTAAAGTGAGGCAAATTGAAATTAGATAAAGCTTTTAATAATATGAATGATAAACTACTGAAATAAGAAAAGAAACAGCAGGTTCCCTGTTCCTAATATCTTCACATGATTGGACGCCTTTCTGTTAACCACAAAGGATCACTAGGTGAAACCACGGCCTGTATTTCCAGAAGACTGGAAAATTGGTCTATGGACCCTGACATGAGAGGCAATTTCAGCAGTTTACAGCCAGCGATGTGATCTTCCTTGTTTATGTCATCTGTGCAATTGATCCTATGGACAGCAGGAAAAACTGCCACCTGGAATTCAGGTTTGAACTAAGTAAAAGTCTGCTCTTTCTCATTAACTCCACTGCCACAGAGCTTCTCAGTGCTCTCCAAACCACCAATCCACAGGTAGACCAGAATAGTCATCTGCTACTCCAAGACAGAAGGTTCACATTAAGCTTCTTCAAAATGTGCATCACAGGTGAAGTCTATGAGTATAAAAAGAAACCTAACAATCATATTATTACAATATACTCTGACTTTCATTGCAAATGTGACTGCCTCCACTCCATTTTCTGTAATCATAAACAAACGCTAAATTTTGCATATTCTTATTCTGAACATTCCCTTTTATGATAGTCAACACTGCCTCAAAGCAACCAATCATTACAGAATTCCTATTGTTCTGCCTTGGTTTTTCCCCACAAATTCACATCAATAAACCAGAACCAATACTGCTATGAACTTGGATAACAGAACCTGACTTGATAGCTTATTCTAGTGAAAGAAATGCCTCTTTTCAACACAGCATTTGCAACAACTACTGTATAAAAGGTAGTTCAATTGTATGATTGTGGCTATCATGATTTAAAAGGATTTCTTTTCCCTGCTGGAGGCATCTGCAAGGTTGGGAAAATCTAGAGAGAAAATATTACTTTGACACAAAGAAACAGTAGCTGACTAAGGAGTTTTCTGAAAACCTCACCCAAATTCAGATGAAAGTCTTCAGGTATTAGACAAGACCACATCTCAGAGTAAAGATGAGTTTATTTCCTGCCTGTTTTTCAGCTCACGTTATCTATTGAGATTCTGCATACAGTGACTGCATTTCAGCCTCCTCCCTGGGAGCTGGAGGAGGCAGGTCCACCGACAGCAAGTGAAAGTGCACTGCCAACTAAGAGCATTAAAGTATTCCCCAGGGAGCAGCAGGACACCATCTTCCCCCATCCCAGGGGGAGTCTTGCTACCTCTTTCTCTTGGAAAAAAGGTGCTGAGACAGCCCTTGCGCTGCAAGAGACCTCAGATTTCACCAATGTTTACAAATCAAACTTTGTTCCAGGCAAGGATAAGAATGTTACATTGTCCAAACAGATGGGTTATTCTTTCATGTTGCTCACAGTAGCAAGTGTAGCTTTAGCACACAGCCTGGAAAGCCCAGACTCTCACTACCTGTGGAGCAGAATAACCAAGCTGCCAGGCACCATTTTATGTTCTGCACCTGTCTGGGAAAAGTCTTCGAGAGCAGTCCTACATACAAGTAAATCAAGACAAGATGAGTCACAGGGGAAAGGAGTCTTGGACAACAGAGACAAATCCTACAAGAAATCGATTATAAATATGGTGCCAAGCAAAGAAGTGAAGGCACTGATATGAGACTTGGCTTTTGAGGAGTATTCAAGACACTACAAGAACGGTGCAACCATGTTCAGCTTTCCCATACACCACAAGAGCTTGAATCTCCTGTGACACTGCTACAACTCAGCATCATTCCTCACCTGACCTTTTATTCTATCATTTCTTTTCTGGTCATTTTCTCTCTTCTTATGCTATTATTCATTCCCGTCTTCTTCCTGATCACCAGTTTGCAGACTTACAACAGCCTTCCAGATGTTTGCATTTCCTCTTCTTCTCTCTGTTGACTTACTGAAGCCTCATCCTTTATTCTCACTGCTCTCCTCAGTGATTTCTTTCCTCCTTGTGCATTCAGAAGGTTTCCACACTGCCTGATCAGGGTTCTTAAAAAGATAAAAAATAAGGACGCAAAATTTTTTATTTACAACTTTGTGTGTGTGTGATTAAAATTTAGATCAAACCATGGGCAAATGACACAAATAACAGCATCTCCAACAAAATGCCTGTTTCCCTTCATAGACCAAGAAACACAAGATCTATTTGAAAAAAAACAGTACTTCCAAAGCATAGTTCAGTGTTTTTTCTTAAGTTGTGTTTAATTTGATATATTTTATTCTCAATTGCTTTACTTTCCATTTCTTTTTAAATTTTTTCATTATTTTACTATTATGAGATGATCCTCACTCCTTTCTCACTCTGGGAATCCTCTTGACTCAAGTCAAACTTGTCAAATTAAGCACAAACCTGTTAGATAATATGGCTTTAGAGGGATTAATTTCTTTCCCTTACAGCATTCATTAGCTTGGACAATCACTGTTTGTGGTGGAACTGGACTGGAACAGCACAGTGTTGGGCTTTTGTCAGAGTCAGACCTTCAGGTACAAGAAGAAGAGCCACCAACCCAGCCCTCCCTATAAAGTTTTGTGGTTTCCCAGGGAGGATCCAAGATCAGTGCTTCCCTATGGCCATTCCCTGGGGGCTGCATTGTGCTTGCATGTACGAGGGGTCAGAGAGCACCACAGAGGTGCCCCTTGTTGGCCCTCTCGTCTCTTGTCTGTCACAAATTCCCGCTCTCAGATGTTGGTAGCACTGTTCCCCTGTCACTGCTCCCAAGTCACAGCCCACAGGACACACCGGCTGGGATGAAAACCAGCACCGCAGCTACCTCAGAAAATGGCCGCTGCATGAGGCGCCTCAGGCAAACAGCCAGCTCACGGCCACCACACGTGAGGAGCCTTGGGCAAACGGCTGCATGGGGCAAGTGGCCACCTGTGAGGAGCCTCAGCAAATAGCTGCCTCGGGTCAATGGCCACCACAGACATGGCTCTGCAAGCAAACGGCTGCATCGGGCAAATGGCCGCCATATGAGGCGCACCACTGCAAAATGGCCGCCTCAGCCAAGCAGCAGCTGCGGACACTCCTACCTTTGCCTATGTACCCTGCCATGTGTAGGACTGCAGGGGTCACTGAGCTGCCAGCCCAAAAGAGAAGTTTTCCTTTCACACTCCCAAAGCAGGACTTGGAGTCCTGCACCGGAGCAGCTGGAGCAGAGAGCTCCTGGCCACACCGGCCACTTTTCCCCTGCCGCAGGGTCACCATGGCCCCCTGGCCAGCTCTGGGCTCACCGCCCTGTGTGACCTCTCCACAGCTGCTTTGTGCGCTGGGGCTTGTCTGAGGCAAAAGGGTGACAGGGCTCCCTCACGCACAAGCTCTCCAGTGCATTCCCTCCCCTTCTTCCCGACCGCCCCAAGGCATCCATCACCAGTGAACTCATGGCGAGCCACCCCTTTTGGGAACTGCGTTTGGGAAGTTTGCAGTGTGAAATTGGAAACAGAGAAAAATTGTGGAGGTACACACTGCTCCCAGAGGCTAAACCCCTTGCTGCAGCAATCAGGGAGAAGCACAACTCACGTGTAAAAGGAGGAGAGGAGCTGTGCTGCAGATTCCCATTGCTGCTCACTGTGACCAGCACATCTGGGCTGGAAGATGGAGGGAGGAAAGGGAAATCGCATTCCTTTCTCAGGCCATTTTAGTTAATACCTGCTGTGACCATATGTTTGCATGTAAAAACAATCTCTGCATCAAATATTAAAGCATTGCCAGGGAAATCTCCAAGTTCTGTACTTAATGGCACTCAATCTTTTTTGTTCATTCCATCAGTCCTTATTAAATAATTAATAACAGATTAAATATGATCTTTCACATGAATACAATTCCAACTACTGTTGAAAGAGCAGCTCCATCTGATGCCCACCACCTAGGACCAAGTGATGCCCTGTGCCGATTCACCACTTATATTTAAGTTTTGAGCTAAAGGGCAATTCTTTACCCCTAAGTACAACTAAAACTTTCCAACTGAGTGTGCTTGTAATAGACTTGCCACTGGAGGGACCAGCTCCCAGAGAGACGGGGGCATCACAGCTGCCCTCAGCCCTCTGCTCTGGGGCATGGCTGCCTCCTGAGGCTTCAGCCACTTGCACTTTCACACCTTTGGCAGCTCCCCATATTCCTCCATGCCCCAAAGCCCTGCCAGACGGCCCCTCTCCAGCCTTCTGCATGCCCCTAATAGGGTGTCAAGGTAGCAGCCCAAAGCCACATGCTTCTCCGAGATCCTGCAACAACCCTTGGGACACTTTCATCAGCTCCTCATGCTGCCTCTCTTTCTGTCCTTTGACCTTCCCTCTTTCTTGGCAGCTCCCCCGAGCCTGTTGCCATGGAAATGCCTAACTGCAAACCCTCCTCATCCCCAGGAACTGGCCCCTGGAAGGTTCTTTCTCCTGCTAGCAATAACCTCTCCTGGGCTGTGTCCCCCGGCAGCCTTGCTTCCTGGAAAGGGGCACTTCACTGGCCCCCCTGCTCTCAGATTGGTCCCTGTACTGCCAAAAGACAAACCCCACACCAGGAGCACATCACACACCACACAAACACAACTCATAAGTTATGCTTATAGAGTAGCCACAATGTAGTCAAAAGTGTTGGATACATCAGTGAGAAAAAATGATCAGAACTACTCTGGTTCCCCAGTTTGCCAGCACTCAGCTAATAACATTCAGAGCGCTCTACTTAACGTAATAACAATTAATTAACTTTAAACGGGTGTCATTCTGCCCCAATTAAGCAGAAGAGATTTCCAAAAAGGAAAAGAAATGCTAACTGACATATGTCATTGAAAATCTTCCCCGTAAATCTTCATTTTGGCTTTGTACACATTTGATATTGCTGTTGGCAAATTTTGCAAAAAGTATTTGTGCTTAAATTAGGTTAACGAAGTTAATATGAAGGAATAAACCTATATTTTTCAGTATGAGTGCAAATAATTTTTTTTTCATTTCTTGATTAAAATGTCATAGAATTGAAGAAAATGTTTTTCTCAAGAAAATAATGCTAATGCTATGCTCCAAGCAGAATGATACATAATGCAAAAGAAAGATGGTAAGAAGTAATTCATATGTATCCACCACAATTCACTGATGGGTGCTTTTCTTTAACCAATATAGTGTCTAATGGGCACAATAACTGGAATATGAACAAAAAGCCATTTTCACTGCCAATACACTTTACAGTGATGCTTTTGCAATTTAAGTCCCATTCTTAATCCATTTTCACAGGCCTTTACCTTAATGCAACAAAATGAAAGTGACCTGAGGGACATTTTCTCCTCTCCATCAGAAAATATAGGCAAGCTACGTGAACTCCAAAATATGTAGATTGTTGTTCTTAAATGGGGCTGTTTCAGTCAGAGCACAGAGACACTTTACAGCCACCGAGGCATAACTATATATTTACTTTCCCAGCAGTTTAATTTGCTACACTGCCACTGGTACTGCAACCATGGTTTACAAAATCAAACCACAATGATTTAATGTACTTCAAATTTCAAAACCCTCTCTGGTAATTGGGTCATAGCAATTGACTCAATCTTAGCAAAGCATTCTCAATAATCACTTTATTATAATTTTTTTCAATTACTTCACAGTTAAGTATAAATTTCTTACCTCTGAGCGGCTCACTTGAACTTACTTTAAAATGATCACCTTTGCCAGTTACAAAAATAACATGTTAGATTTTCTTTCTCTTGTAGTGAAACATAGCAATTTCCAATGTAACTTAATAATAAAGAAATCTAATAGGCATCTAAATGTGAGACACAGTCAAGAGGACCTAGTTTTTAAAATTTTCATTGAACTGCCATTGAAAAGCAATGTTATATTTTATTGTGCAGAAAAGCAAAACCCACCTGTTTGCTTTCCTCCAATTAAAACACATTTCAGTCATAAAAAGGAACACATGAGTTTGTCAAGATATTTCACTCACCACAGAAAAAAGACTGGGAAAAAGAGAATGCAGAAATAAAAGTTGAAAGCATTAGCAATAATTTCAGAAACATATTTCAATTTTTGCTATATATAAACATGTGGCTATGTTTTCATAACTACAAAACTAAAATAAAGAACATTTTATCCAAAAAATATATATTTTCTCCTATCTTTTTTAGTAGAAAAATCAAAAGAAGCTGTTTCAGATTGAACTCTTTTCAAGGTGTTTATTATCAGCTAAAAAAAAAATCTTATTCAAGAGCTGTGTTTAAAAGACATGTATTTTTAGTCTTAAAAAAAAATCTTAATACATTCTTTTTTGTTTTTCATATGATAGCCCTTTGAAAGGACTGAGTCTGAGCCCAGAAGTTTCATACTCCTATTTACTATCTCTATCTAGAAATAATTAAGTAATTATTGTGATCCAGTAGTTTCTTGGGAAACAGGAAGTGGTTTGTGAGCTCTGATTAGGGAAGCATGGAAGACAGAACTGTTGTCCACATCCCTATCTCTTCTAGGACTGGCATATGTGTTTTATTTGAACAAATTACCCTTGCCCACCAAACTTGAATTGCCAATCTCCCCTTCTCTGCAAAACTGAATTGCAAGCCCTGCACAGGTGCTGGGATGTGGTGAAAAGGAAACACAGGTATCAAAATCATGGCACATATCAGGAGAATAGTTCAAGTGTACAAGGCCACTCCACTTTTGCTTTTGGGAGAAGACTAGCCCCCAAGTACCCAATGAAATGTTTTTCCTCTGACCTCAGAAGAAGCAGGATTATGTCTTGCTTCTCATATGCAGGTTCTGGATAAAAATGAAGGATGTACTCAGCCCTGTTGGCAATCACAGTAGAGGTGCTGATCACTGAATTAACAGGCACAAAGTCTAAGTTCCCCTGCTCCCAGGGAGCAATGCCATCTCTACATCTTTATCTATGTGTTTGTCTGCCATTTGTTACACTGAAGTTACTAGCAAGTTGAGATGAGCGATGGCAGAAAAGTGGGCCCTAAAATACCCTTTAGTTTGGTGTCTGCTCAATGTTCTGACAAAGATTATCAAACACGGTGGGTGATTTTCATGGACAAAGTTCCTCCTGGTGTTAAGCAGTGTGATGGAAACAGCGACACAGAAAAAAAAAATAATTCTCTTGTCACCCTGGAGAATGTTGGAGACATCCTTGTGTAGTTTTACTGCCATGGGATAAGTGATAAATTATGTATATGGCACAACATCATGCTGACTTTGGGGAGGGCATTGTGAAGGTGAAACACATACCTTCTGCTCATGAATGTCAATCTAACTGAAGTCTTGGAAGCTGATACTGCTGTCAGACTGCTACAAAACAAAAAGGACAGGAGACAGGTTGTCTGGGTGCTTGCCATGAATGACAACTGAACAGATACTTCACTGTTGGAAAAAGCAACAGAGATCCCAAAAGACCTCTTTGTGGGATAACAGAGTTGATTTTAAAATGATTTGCTTCAAGTCTGTGAAACAAGAAATTCTCCAAACATTGGAAAGAAGAAAGTTACCATCACTAGGCTAGACCTTGAGATCAAGTAAAACAGTAATAGAAAAATACACTGTTGGATCTGTTTTCTCAAACCTGGATATTCTGCCTTTTCCAGATCATTCCAGCCCATGGTCTGACACAGCTCCTCAAACCATCACCATGTTCTACCTCCTTCTTGCTTGGTGAAGATTGGTTGTATTTCACACACTCTGAAACATGGCAAAGGCTCTATAGTTGTGCAAAATGTAATTAATTAGCAAATGCTATGACACAATATAGAAAACAAGTGTAAGCAACTTTCTATAGAGGTTTACCTTGATGTGGATGCATACATACACACATGCACACATCTCATCCCCAAATATCAATAATCAGTGAGTCCCTACTGTATTTTGTAGGTGTGTTTGTTCTTTGATTTGATTCTAGTTCCAAGATCATTTCTCACATGCCAGTAATTGCCATTATATGATTCAGCAGTAAATCAGTCCGGCCCTTCTGATATTTTTAAGCAACTTTATGGATTCTTTGCTGAAAAGCAAAGCATCTCACAACAGAGAAGATGCTGACAGAAGACACAAATGCAGGTGCTGATACTTGGCTTTGGTACAGATGAGAACATAAATGTAAATACTCCCAGTACCTGCTGCCTGTGGTTGGCAGCTGTAACAGAAACCCAAAAGTCAGCTCTGACTGTGACTGTTGGTCAGCCTGAGATTTTATTGATGGCAGAGGACCCACATACAGAGCTGTACAACTTAAGAGTACATTGCCTATACAATTTGAAAATACACATCCAAAGAACAAAGCTAAAAGAAACATCTATGTCACAGGGAAGAGGAACCAAAGACAGGATATCACTGAATGACAGCTTTACAAAGTATGTAAAATATGCTTGGGAGTTGGGCTTGATTTTATCTTTTGACATTTAACAGGAGCTGCTGGCACCATTTGAGACTATACTCTGTGCAATCAAACATGTAATTGTTTTGTATATGATGCCAGATATCCCTTAAGAGCTTCATCTGACATGTGCCACTCATATGATCAAATTTCATAAAGGCATTGCACATTGAGCTGTGCAAACAAACTCATGAATGCATTATCATTGGCAGAAGGTCAGTTTTAGAAATAACATAGGGAGTAAACTGAAGAAAAAAGAGCAAAACAACCACTTTTCTAATGTCAGGATTTGTTCTACATTTTGGTCTTACTATCATAAAAAGCATATTTGACTACTTTTACCCTTTCCTACAAACAGTAATTTACCCCTTGCTCAGGAAATGCTCAGAAAATTACTTGTGGCACAGTCTTCTTCTGTAGTTCTTTGAACACAACAGCAGTTCTAAAATCACCTCCAAACACCTACCCGCTTTGGTTTTGTCATGCAATGTGCAAAACAGGATATACTCAGAAAATTCAACAACATCTGATTGGTCACTAAATAAAAAAACCATTATAGATTATGGCAGAAGAAAAGGTGTTGGTTCATTTTACAAGGTGATCTGCCTGTAAGACAGCAGCTGTAAAAGACTAACCAGTAGAAATGAAGCACTAACCAAACACACCAAAAATATAATTGTGATATCAAAGAGAGTGAATATGAACACTGATCAATGAGAGAAATCTTTCTGTTTCTTCCATTATAAGAATATTTTTCTTTCCATTAGGAGAAAAAAAAATTTATAAAAACAGCTTGAAAAAAAAATGCCTTCCAATGAACCTCCAAGATTTAAAGAAGTTTGTACTACCTGAGCTTTGTGCTCCTCGACTGCAGTCTGCTACAAGTTGGAAAAAATTTCAGTTTCCTAGTTCTTTCTTAGTTGGGAGTAGAAGTGAAACAAAAGTAGTATTTAGACCCTCAACCAAAAGTCTGCATCTCTCCTCTGCCTTACTTGTGCAAGCTCAGAGAAAATGGAGTGAGAAAAGGACAGTGGGTTGCTTATTTGTTTGGAGCCTGCTGTTTAAGAAAGAGGCAGTATCTGTCAACTCCATGAGGGACATATAATGATATTAGCAAACTATTTCTGTGAGCAGTATCTCTTTTAAACTGAAGTTTTGTAACACACTCATTTTTCCTCAATTTACCAAAACTCAGGATCCTGACAGCTGTTTTAATTAGGAAGAGGACATCATGATGGAGCCAAGTAATTTTCAGTTGAAGACGTGTTTACTTTATAGGATGCATGAAGTTGTGTTTCCATGATCACAGGATCAAACATTAGAGCCTGTCATTACTCACAGCCTTGCCCAGCCCACAAACAAACACTGAGTTTTTCTTCAGTGGCACAAACCCAATTGCTTGTCCCTCTAGTTTTTGCTCCCTTGCTTTTCTCACACATTATTTCAGTCCAACTCCTCCCTTCCTCTTAAACTTGCTAACATTAAGACAACGGCTCTTTGCAGTGCACATCTAAAGCCTTGCACATTCTTTCATTTTGGGTGAAGTTTGAGGAGACTTTCTGCCACTCACTCTACAGAGCATCTCCCATGCCTGTATTCTACACCAGTGGGTTTGGCCCGGCCTGTAAGATGAAAATTGTAAGAGGTATTATACAGGATCAAACAGTTCAAGTTGTCTCCTGAAGCACATTTTCACTGTTTTAGCTGGAACAGACCTCAAGTGAGGAAGATTTCAGACAGAATATCGAAAAGGCTCTCAGAGCGCCACAAGAATAATCTTTCTGGAAAGGCAGACATTAACACAGAGTTCAATTCAGATAGGAAGTTCAGCTTTACCTTTTTTTAATCTTTTCTTGACATGGTAAAAACAAAAAAAAATATTAATTTACTTGGGAAGAAGAACAGTTACAGAAAAGTGGTGTCAAATTGGTACTGAAGACACCCTACTTTTCAGTCCTGCATACTAATGGAGGGGCTGGATACATCTCAACTCCCATTCCTAACAAATATCTGGCCAGCTTTCTCCTTAGTACCTCCAGAGGTGTCCAGAACCCTTCTGAGGGATCTCTTTCTATTTTATATCACTTTATTCTAACCTTCAACCTGAATTTCTTTCTTCCACGTTAAACTGATATGTTACTGTTCTGTTCCAAGGATGAAAGCAGAACAATTAGTTGCTACCCTCTGTTGCAAACTGGGATATTGTTATCCTGTCTATTTTCTTTTCTTCTTATTAAAACATAACCACTTCTTTCAACTTTCATTCTATCCTTTCTAAACTCTCCATTGAGTTGCCTCCAATTTGTCCATATCCTTGTTAAACAATGAAATATGTGTTATTGCAAGAATACCACTTGTTGACCTGTATTCAGCTGTTGTCTACTCCAAAAATCTTTCTCTACCATTCAGGCTCCTGGGCAGTTACTATTCTCCATTTTTCACCCCAGCTTGCCCCTTATCTTCCCATACGGGGACTTTGAAAAGCTGAACCTGCTCTTGTTGATTCAGTACTTTCTGTCAAATTAACAAGGCCCTTTTGAATTCCAGTTTTGTCTTCCATTGTCCCTACAGCATAACAGTGTGATGTCCTCTGTGCATTTGACCAATTTAACCTCCATTCCATTACCTGAGTCCTTAATGAAAATACGGAATAGAAACACCTCCACTTCAAAAGCCCTCTGACTCTGGCAGTGACATACAACGAGTTTTGAGTGGTTTCCACTCCATTGTGTGCAGTGTTTTCAGGCTGGACATAATTCCCTGTGCTGTATATAAAGATACCACGAGAAAAAGTCAAAAGCTTAATAGCAGTCAATTTACATATCCCCCCATGTACTGTGCCCATTATCCTGCCCAAGAAAGAAATTGGATTAGTTTGAAATTACTCATTCTTCACAAACCCATAGGGTTTTTTAATCATTTCATCATCTTCAGCATTTGATAAATTTACAGTTTAATAATTTGTCCCGGAACTTTTCCTGGGGCCAAAGCTGGTCTAACCACCCCTGAGTTTCTCCAAATCAGTTCATTTTTTCCTCTTTTTTCCACCTGAAATCTTCAGGCAATAACTTTATGAAACTCATCCTATTAATAAAATCTATTCTGTAAAAAAATAAACCTAACAAATGTCCTAGAAAGCAATCTGCATATTAAAAAAATGCTATTAATCTGAATGACCCCAGGAATTTCAAAAAAGACCATGGTTCTTCCAGTGAAATTGCCAGAAAACAGGAACAACTGGGACTGCTTATTTTAGTAAGAATAGGAATCAGAGGGGACACGCTGGAAGGATACATGTGAGAGCACAGCATAAAGAAGTTAAGCCAAATACTTCAGTTAATCCTCCTGTGATGCAAAACAAGCAAGCAGGCAACAAAACTGAAAGGTACACTTTTAAAATTATAACCACCCCCCTTCAGATTTGAAAAGGCCAATGTATAGATTCATGTAAGTGTTGCCAACAGTCAATAGCGAGGGAATATGCCTAGCAGAGAGGATTAGACATTTTTGTAGACAAGAGCCAGAAGCAAATGCTGTCCCCTCAGCAGAGGATGAGCAAAGCACCAGTTTGCCTTCTTGAATCTAAACCAGGAGCAAGGACACAGGAAATTGCAGCAGCGATTAACTCCGGGGTCTCAGCACTGCTCTTGATGCCCGAGTGCTGGTGGTGCCCACCACCAGCTCACTCTCCCAGCACATTCCTACACTTGTGCTTCTGCCAGAGTGATTGCTGGCTACATTCTGCTTCCCCTCTCCCCCTGTTTTCCAATAGTTTCTTTACCATTTTGCAGCCACACAGCACCTGCTCAGCCTCGATCACTGTGTATGTGGTCTGGTACTCACATTTCCATGTGTCCATTTCCACAGCTCACTTGGCCTTTTCATCTGCTTCAAAATTATCCTCTTAAACAAAAAACTGACG